TGTATGTTTGTGTGTTCTATAGATTATATAGTAAACTTAAAAAATCTTCTTGTGAAAAACCACTGGTCCAATTTCAACCAAACTTGGCAGGATTGATCCTTGGGTGAACGGCTTCCAAAGTTGTTCAAAGAATATCATTGGGAATGCAGAAATTCCAAAAGTAATTATAAGAATAAATTTAAAAATCTTCTTGTAAAGACCCACAAGGCCTAGAGCATAGATATTTTGCATAAGGCATTGTCTGGTAAACCTCTACCAAGATTGTTCAAATTATAGCCCTGGGGTCAAAATTGGCCCCGCCCCGGGGATCATTGATTTTCAGTCACTATGTCATAAGGTAAAAAATTAAAAATCTTCTTGACTGAAGGTACTAACCTGATAATAACAATTAGATAGGTAAGTGATCTATGCATTATGGCAGTCAGTATCGAAACAAAAAAAATGTGTTCCTACATTACTATTTAGTGTTGTATTAATGCGGTGGCATGGCATTTTTTAGCTCGACTATTCGATAAGAAGAGTAGAGCTATTGTAGTCACCCGAGCGTCCGCGTCGGCGTCGGCGTAACCTTTGAAAGTCCATTGACATATGGCTTTGAAACTTTGCACACTTGTTCAACATCATTACCCCAACCTGTAAACAGGAGGAGGTAACTGTATCAAGTATTTTGACAGAATTATGCCCCTTTTTCGACTTAGAATTTACGTTAAAGTCTTTGTAATAGTTCAAATATTTTCAAAGTCCATTGACATATGGCTTTGAAACTTTGCACACTTGTTCACCATCATTACCCCAACCTGTAAACAGGAGGAGGTAACTGTATCAAGCATTTTGACAGAATTATGCCCCTTTTTCGACTTAGAATTTACATTAAAGTTTTTGTAATAGTTCAAATATTTTCAAAGTCCATTGACCTATGGCTTTTAAACTTTGCACACTTGTTCACCATCATTACCCCAACCCGTAAACAGGAGGAGGTAACTGTATCAAGCATTTTGACAGAATTATGCCCCTTTTTGGACTTAGAATTTACGTTAAAGTTTTTGTAATACCTCAAATATTTTCAAAGTCCATTGACATATGGCTTTGAAACTCTGCACACTTGTTCACCATCATTACCCCAACCTGTAAACAGGAGGAGGTAACTGTATCAAGCTTTTTTTTTTACAATCAAGCACTAAGAATAGTCGAGCGTTGCTGTCCTACCGACAGCTCTTGTTTACAAATGCAATCTTGTTTTTCTTTTTTTTTTCATCATTTTGAACCTGATATCTGTTTCATGTGTGTAATTATACCCCCGCACAACGAAGTTGTATAGGAGTATACTGGAATCAGCTTGTCCGTCCGGCCGCCCGGACCTCTCCCCGTCCGTCGGTTTTTCCTTGTCCACCCAATATTTTGAGATTCCTTTGGCCCACAGTCTTCATATTTGGCATGGAGGTAAGTCATGATAAGTAGATGACCCCTATTGATTTTGAGGTCACTGGGTCAAATGTCAAGGTCACAGGAGCCTTGACTTTAAAAAGCTTGTCCGCCCAATAACTTGAGATTCTTTTGACCCACAGTCTTCATATTTGGCATGGAGGTTAGTCATGATTAGTAGATGACTCCTATTGATTTTGAGGTCAAAGGTCAAGGTCACAGGGGCCTTGAATAAAAAAACTTGATTTTAAGTCTTCACATTTGAAGCATGGGGAATACATATTTTAGCAATGCACTGGCTTAGTAACCTCAGATTTGGCAGGGTGGTTGTCCTTGTTTAATTTTGATATCAATTGAGCTGTTATTGATATTTTTTAAACCATTTGACCTTTCTTGTGTTTTGATGTACAGTCACTTGAAATTTGGACCAAGAATCAATTTCTGATGCCAAATTGAATTTTGATTTCAACTGACCTACTTTTGATATTAATGATATTGTTTGACCTCGTTTCTCGTTTTTTGATGTACAGACTTGAAATTTTGACAAGGGGTGTAATTTCTGATCCTGAATTGAATTCTGATACCATTTGGGCTACTTTTGATATTTTTGATATCGCTTGACCTACTTTTTTGTTGTTTTTTGATGTAATGACTTGAAATTTGGACCAGGGGTGTAATTTTTGATGTTGAATGTTTGATATCAGCTGACCTACTTTTGATATTATTGACACCATTTGACCCACTTTCTTCTTTTTTGACATACAGACTTTAAATTTTGGACCAGGGGTGTAATTTCTGGTGATTTTTGGTCAAGTTTGGTGTCAAATACTAGGTCACACAGCCTTAATATTGTAAAACCTTCTTAACACTCAAGGGGCTACTGTTCCAGTCCAAACATTCTGGATATTGGTCAGAAAGTTTATTATGATTTCCAGGGCAAGTTCAAATATGGGTTACTTGTGTTGAGAAACTAGATTACCCAGCCCTTATATGTGAAAACCTTGTTTACACACTAGAGGCTACTGTTGTGATCCAAATATCCTGTAAATTGGTCAGAAAGGTCGTTTTGTTATCCCCCGCCGATGGAATCGGGAGGGGGATATAGTTTTGGCGTTGTCCGTCCGTCCGTCCGCACAAACATTTTAGGTATATGAGCTAACTAACGGTACACTGGGACAAAAGATAACAAAGGACTTCATTCCGTAAATAATAGTTAGCTCATAAGGAAACAATAGTTAGCCCACATGGAAACAAAAGAAAAGAACAATAGAAATAGCTCATAAACCTGAAAAATTGGTACGTCCGTCCTTCCGTCCGTCCGAATTTCGTTTACGGAGTAGTTCTCTGCAACTACTGGCTGGAATTCAACGAAACTTTATGGGAATCATCAATATCAAGAGGAGATGCGCATATCGTCGGCTTGTTCCGGTCCGACCCTTTATCTCAGAGTTATGGCCCTTGATTAGTTATGTAGTATGCATATAGAGTAAAACTTGTTTCCGGAGTAGTTCTCTGCAACTACTGGCTGGAATTCAACGAAACTTTATGGGAATCATCAATACCAAGAGGAGATGCGCATATCGTCGGCTTGTTCCGGTCAGACACTTTAACTCAGAGTTATGGCCCTTGATTAGTTATGAAGTATGCATATGGAGTAAAAATCGTTTCCGCGCTACTTCTCTGCAACTACTGGCTGGAATTCAACGAAACTTTATGCGAACCCTCAATACCAAGAGGAGATGCGCATATCGTCGGCTTGTTCGGGTCAGACACTTTAACTCAGAGTTATGGCCCTTGATAAGTTATGCAATATGCATATGGGGTAAAAATTGTTTCCGGAGTAGTTCTCTGCAACTACTGGCTGGAATTCAACGAAACTTTATGGGAACCTTCAATACCAAGAGGAGATGTGCATATCGTCGGCTTGTTCCGGTCCGACCCTTTAACTCAGAGCTATGGCCCTTGATAAGTTATATAGTATGCATATAGAGTAAAAATTATGTAGTATGCATATAGAGTAAAAATTGTTTCCGGAGTAGTTCTCTGCAACTACTGGCTGGAATTCAACGAAACTTTATGGGAATCATCAATATCAAGAGGAGATGCGCATATCGTCGGCTTGTTCCGTTCAGACACTTTAACTCAGAGTTATGGCCCTTGATTAGTTATGCAATATGCATATAGAGTAAAAATCGTTTCCGCACTACTTCTCTGCAACTACTGGCTGGAATTCAACGAAACTTTATGGGAATCATCAATACCAAGAGAAGATGCGCATATCGTCGGCTTGTTCCGGTCAGACACTTTAATTCAGAGTTATGGCCCTTGATTAGTTATGCAGTATGCATATGGAGTAAAAATCGTTTCCGCGCTACTTCTCTGCAACTACTGGCTGGAATTCAACGAAAACTTTATGCGAACCCTCAATACCAAGAGGAGATTGCATATCGTCGGCTTGTTCGGGTCAGACACTTTAACTCAGAGTTATGCCCTTGATTAGTTATGCAATATGCATATAGAGTAAAAATTGTTTCCGGAGTAGTTCTCTGCAACTACTGGCTGGAATTCAACGAAACTTTATGGGAACCTTCAATACCAAGAGAGATGTGCATATCGTCGGCTTGTTCCGGTCAGACGCTTTAACTCAGAGTTATGGCCCTTGATTAGTTATGTAGTATGCATATAGAGTAAAAATCGTTTCCGCACTACTTCTCTGCAACTACTGGCTGGAATTCAACTAAACTTTATGGGAACCTTCAATACCAAGAGAGCGCATATCGTCGGCTTGTTCCGGTCAGACACTTAACTCAGAGTTATGGCCCTTGATTAGTTATGCAGTATCCATATAGAAAAATATTTGTTTCCTCGCTACTTCTCTGCTACTACTGGCTGGAATTCAATGAAACTTTATGGGATACTAAGAGGAGATGTGCATATAGTCGCCTTGTTCCTGTCAGATACTTATAACTCAGATTTATGGCCCTTGATTAGTTATGTAGTATGCATACATCTCATTGGCATTTCCAGATTTTACTATTTAACACTAAGTTATGGCTCTGTTATTGCCCTGAATATTTATCAAGTTCAAAGAATATTACTGTTTATGCCATGATTAATATATAAATAAAGCCTTATGTCTTCAGTTGTTGTGTTAATAATAACCAGTACTCGGCGGGGGATATAAATTCAACGAATTTGCTTGTTGATTTCTTGGTCAATGTCGAATATAGGTCATCTGTGGTCAAAAACTAGGTCACACAACCCAAATAAAATGGGATTGAGCCTTCATAATCAGGTGAGCTATATAAGGGCCATCATGGCCTCTTGTTATAGTTTGACCGGAGTATATACTCCTCTTATACCACTATTGCAATTTCAATGAAACTTTACAGGATTGATCAGTAGCTCAATACTTACTCAGGTTTTCCTGTTGGATTTTTGGCTGAGTTATAGCACTTTGATATCAATCACATTTTGCCCTGTTAATGATTTTTGTGTTACACAAAAGCTGCAATTGACTATCATGAGGCGACATGTGATCATTGTACTTAAATAAAACCATGCATTATTGTTTTTAGATGAGTGGTCTAGAAGAGAAGTTTGACAAAGAAATCACAGATTCTTGTAGAATTATTGCTTCAAGATTCCCTCTGCCTAATTGGCAACCTGTCAGAATTATTGGAGAAGGATTAGACACTGTCTGGATATATATGCATCCCCGTAACTCAGATTATGAACAACTGAAAATGTCTGTAAACTCAAATGGGTTAAACAATGAAGATTGTACTAATGAAGAGATACAGAAAGATAAATTTAGAATCAATACAGTATTATCGTCAAATAAATGACCAAAAATACCAAGGGTACATCAAATCTGCTCTTGAAATGAAAAAGTTGGTCAACTAAGTTTACATCCAAGACAAAGATGTGATATCTATGGCAAAAAACTCCAAAATCACTAAATAGAAACATTTCATTGAAATAAATATTTAATTATAACTGTTATGTACTGTTTTAAGAATGTTTTGATAGATATATCTTCTTGTAAGGAAGTAAGAATTTTGTTTATTATTAAATTATGAAGATTATCTCTGTGTATGTTATGTATTGGTGAAATTTGTATCTTTCTCAGTGTGACAAAATATTTTACTTTTGTATTGAAAAAAATGGTCTAGACACTTGGATATTCTTGTCATATTAGCTCACTAGAACCGAAGGTTCAGGTGAGCTTTTAGTATCAAAGGCGGATGTTCTGGCGTCATGCATCAACAATCATTTTCTCTGAAACTGCTGGGCAGATTTACCTCAAATTTGGTCTGTAGCATCCTTGTGACAGTTACATTTGAATATTTGAATTTGCTCATGTAATTTCAATTGGCCCCTTTTAGGGGTCAACAGAGCTAAAAAAAAACAAAACAAACAAACAAAAACAAAAAAAAACCTTAAAACATCTTCTACTTTTATTAAATGATGGATGATTACCAAACTTTGTCTGTAAGCATTGTTAGGTAGTCTTTGATCAAATTTGCTAATATTAATTTGATTGGCCCTTTCAGGGACTGCTAAAGCTAAAAATAGAATAAACTTTAATCATTTTTTCTTGTACTGAACTAATTGATGGATGATCACCAAACTTTGTAGCATTCTTAGGTAGCCTTTTCTCAAGTTTGCTCATATAAACTTGATTGGCCCCTTTTAGTGGCCACTAAAGCTAAAAATAGAAAAACCTTAAAACAATTTTAGCTTGACTTTTTTAAAAAAAAAAAAATAGAGGTATTGTTATAGTCCTGGTGGCTTTGCCGTTGCCGTCCGCAAAACTTGTACCTGGATCATAACTTTTTTATCCCCCGCCGATGGAATCGGGAGGGGGATATAGTTTTGGCGTTGGCCGTCCATCCGTCCGTCCGAATTTCGTTTCCGGAGTAGTTCTCTGCAACTACTGGCTGGAATTCAACGAAACTTTATGGGAATCATCAATATCAAGAGGAGATGCGCATATCGTCGGCTTGTTCCGGTCCGACCCTTTAACTCAGAGTTATGGCCCTTGATTAGTTATGTAGTATGTATATAGAGTAAAAATTGTTTCCGGAGTAGTTCTCTGCAACTACTGGCTGGAATTCAACGAAAACTTTATGCGAACCCTCAATACCAAGAGGAGATGCGCATATCGTCGGCTTGTTCGGGTCAGACACTTTAACTCAGAGTTATGGCCCTTGATAAGTTATGCAATATGCATATGGGGTAAAAATTGTTTCCGGAGTAGTTCTCTGCAACTACTGGCTGGAATTCAACGAAACTTTATGGGAACCTTCAATACCAAGAGGAGATGTGCATATCGTCGGCTTGTTCCGGTCCGACCTTTAACTCAGAGCTATGGCCCTTGATAAGTTATATAGTATGCATATAGAGTAAAAATTATGTAGTATGCATATAGAGTAAAAATTGTTTCCGGAGTAGTTCTCTGCAACTACTGGCTGGAATTCAACGAAACTTTATGGGAATCATCAAATATCAAGAGGAGATGCGCATATCGTCGGCTTGTTCCGTTCAGACACTTTAACTCAGAGTTATGGCCCTTGATTAGTTATGCAATATGCATATAGAGTAAAAATCGTTTCCGCACTACTTCTCTGCAACTACTGGCTGGAATTCAACGAAACTTTATGGGAATCATCAATACCAAGAGAAGATGCGCATATCGTCGGCTTGTTCCGGTCAGACACTTTAATTCAGAGTTATGGCCCTTGATTAGTTATGCAGTATGCATATGGAGTAAAAATCGTTTCCGCGCTACTTCTCTGCAACTACTGGCTGGAATTCAACGAAACTTTATGCGAACCCTCAATACCAAGAGGAGATGTGCATATCGTCGGCTTGTTCGGGTCAGACACTTTAACTCAGAGTTATGGCCCTTGATTAGTTATGCAATATGCATATAGAGTAAAAATTGTTTCCGGAGTAGTTCTCTGCAACTACTGGCTGGAATTCAACGAAACTTTATGGGAACCTTCAATACCAAGAGGAGATGTGCATATCGTCGGCTTGTTCCGGTCAGACGCTTTAACTCAGAGTTATGGCCCTTGATTAGTTATGTAGTATGCATATAGAGTAAAAATCGTTTCCGCACTACTTCTCTGCAACTACTGGCTGGAATTCAACTAAACTTTATGGGAACCTTCAATACCAAGAGAGCGCATATCGTCGGCTTGTTCCGGTCAGACACTTAACTCAGAGTTATGGCCCTTGATTAGTTATGCAGTATCCATATAGAAAAATATTTGTTTCCTCGCTACTTCTCTGCTACTACTGGCTGGAATTCAATGAAACTTTATGGGATACTAAGAGGAGATGTGCATATAGTCGCCTTGTTCCTGTCAGATACTTATAACTCAGATTTATGGCCCTTGATTAGTTATGTAGTATGCATACATCTCATTGGCATTTCCAGATTTTACTATTTAACACTAAGTTATGGCTCTGTTATTGCCCTGAATATTTATCAAGTTCAAAGAATATTACTGTTTATGCCATGATTAATATATAAATAAAGCCTTATGTCTTCAGTTGTTGTGTTAATAATAACCAGTACTCGGCGGGGGATATAAATTCAACGAATTTGCTTGTTGATTTCTTGGTCAATGTCGAATATAGGTCATCTGTGGTCAAAAACTAGGTCACACAACCCAAATAAAATGGGATTGAGCCTTCATAATCAGGTGAGCTATATAAGGGCCATCATGGCCTCTTGTTATAGTTTGACCGGAGTATATACTCCTCTTATACCACTATTGCAATTTCAATGAAACTTTACAGGATTGATCAGTAGCTCAAATACTTACTCAGGTTTTCCTGTTGGATTTTTGGCTGAGTTATAGCACTTTGATATCAATCACATTTTGCCCTGTTAATGATTTTTGTGTTACACAAAAGCTGCAATTGACTATCATGAGGCGACATGTGATCATTGTATTAAATAAAACCATGCATTATTGTTTTTAGATGAGTGGTCTAGAAGAGAAGTTTGACAAAGAAATCACAGATTCTTGTAGAATTATTGCTTCAAGATTCCCTCTGCCTAATTGGCAACCTGTCAGAATTATTGGAGAAGGATTAGACACTGTCTGGATATATATGCATCCCCGTAACTCAGATTATGAACAACTGAAAATGTCTGTAAACTCAAATGGGTTAAACAATGAAGATTGTACTAATGAAGAGATACAGAAAGATAAATTTAGAATCAATACAGTATTATCGTCAAATAAATGACCAAAAATACCAAGGGTACATCAAATCTGCTCTTGAAATGAAAAAGTTGGTCAACTAAGTTTACATCCAAGACAAAGATGTGATATCTATGGCAAAAACTCCAAAATCACTAAATAGAAACATTTCATTGAAATAAATATTTAATTATAACTGTTATGTACTGTTTTAAGAATGTTTTGATAGATATATCTTCTTGTAAGGAAGTAAGAATTTTGTTTATTATTAAATTATGAAGATTATCTCTGTGTATGTTATGTATTGGTGAAATTTGTATCTTTCTCAGTGTGACAAAATATTTTACTTTTGTATTGAAAAAAAATGGTCTAGACACTTGGATATTCTTGTCATATTAGCTCACTAGAACCGAAGGTTCAGGGTGAGCTTTTAGTATCAAAGGCGGATGTTCTGGCGTCATGCATCAACAATCATTTTCTCTGAAACTGCTGGGCAGATTTACCTCAAATTTGGTCTGTAGCATCCTTGTGACAGTTACATTTGAATATTTGAATTTGCTCATGTAATTTCAATTGGCCCCTTTTAGGGGTCAACAGAGCTAAAAAAAACAAACAAACAAACAAAAACAAAAAAAACCTTAAAACATCTTCTACTTTTATTAAATGATGGATGATTACCAAACTTTGTCTGTAAGCATTGTTAGGTAGTCTTTGATCAAATTTGCTAATATTAATTTGATTGGCCCCTTTCAGGGACTGCTAAAGCTAAAAATAGAATAAACTTTAATCATTTTTTCTTGTACTGAACTAATTGATGGATGATCACCAAACTTTGTAGCATTCTTAGGTAGCCTTTTCTCAAGTTTGCTCATATAAACTTGATTGGCCCCTTTTAGTGGCCACTAAAGCTAAAAATAGAAAAACCTTAAAACAATTTTAGCTTGACTTTTTAAAAAAAAAAAAAATAGAGGTATTGTTATAGTCCTGGTGGCTTTGCCGTTGCCGTCCGCAAACTTGTACCTGGATCATAACTTTTTTATCCCCCGCCGATGGAATCGGGAGGGGGATATAGTTTTGGCGTTGTCCGTCCATCCGTCCGTCCGAATTTCGTTTCCGGAGTAGTTCTCTGCAACTACTGGCTGGAATTCAACGAAACTTTATGGGAATCATCAATATCAAGAGGAGATGCGCATATCGTCGGCTTGTTCCGGTCCGACCCTTTAACTCAGAGTTATGGCCCTTGATTAGTTATGTAGTATGTATATAGAGTAAAAATCGTTTCCGGAGTAGTTCTCTGCAACTACTGGCTGGAATTCAACGAAACTTTATGGGAATCATCAATACCAAGAGGAGATGCGCATATCGTCGGCTTGTTCCGGTCAGACACTTTAACTCAGAGTTATGGTCTTTGATTAGTTATGCAATATCCACTTCTTCTGAACTAATTGATTGATGATCACCAAACTATGTCTGTAGCATTGTTAGGTAGTCTTTTAACAAATTTGCTCATATTAATTTGACTTGAATGTCCAAACTCATGACATTATAGTGCATTGGTAGTTATGTCCAGTCCTTTCCTTTGTCCTTCATTGACATATTTTGTAATTATTTGGCTTAAAACTATTTGTTACAAGAGAGACAATGTTTGATCAAAGGTTTAACAAACACTAAGGTATAATTTCATAGGGTTAAACAGAGCTAAAATTAAACCTTTAAAATATATTCTTCTACTGAATTAATTGATGGATTATCACCAAACTTTGTTTGTAGCTGGTAGTTTTTCACCAAATTGCTCATATTAATTTGATTCGTTCCTTATAGGGGTCGCTAAATCTAAAAATAGAAAAAAACTTTAAACACCTTCT